CTTTGAAGTTCGACGAACACCGCCTGAAAATTGATGTTTAGCAGGGCTTGTCAGTCTTGGTCTTATCTCGTCCAGTGTCTTCGCGGTCGTCCAGCCCATAATCTGTTTTCAAATCGGTCGAAAGCTCAAGACCTTTTTCCAACGGAACGATGAACAATGCCAGTAAACTCAGCGCTAAACAGAACCACCAGATGGCTTTAAACTGGTTACATAGACCTGCAGGACCTCTGCCCATACCTCTGGTTCCACCGTGGAAGAGACAAGATGTGCTTGACTCGCAAATGAGTACGCACCACCCACGTCCAATTGACTGCGCAACCCCGGTGAAGAGACCAAGTGCAAGTTGTCGCGAAATACGGCATTGAATATTATGGATGAGATGGTGACGCCCCAGACAAAGCCAAAGGTCTTAATAAAGGAGAAGGCTGCCGATGCAGAAGCGACGTCAGATTCTGGAAGAGCTGCCAAGACGGCTGGAAGAACGATGGACATGACTCCGCCTAGAGCCGAGGCGATGATCTCAAAGAAGGCCCACGCGACCTTGGGTGTATTCTGATCCAATGTCGTGAAAAGTCCGAAGCCAAGGGTTGCCAGTGAGAAAGTACCAAAATGAATAGGCCTGTAAGCACCTGTTTTGCTAAGGATGATTCCGGTAATCGCAGCAAAGACGAGAATGCTAAGTGTCATGGGAATGAAGTAGATACCCGAGTCCAATATAGTCGTGCCAAGGACCGCTTGGAAATATACTGGCAGAAAGTATCCCGCCGCCTGAAGCAAGACAGACCCGAGGAAATTCATGGCAAATCCAGCCGAAGATGTGCGATTGCTGAAGAGACGCCTCGGTACGCTCGGGTTGCTGGCAAGAAAATGTTGTTGAAGGTGGAAACAGATCCAACCAGCCAAACCTAACACTATGGGTACAATGACGCGCCAGGAAGACCATGGATAAACAGTGCCTCCGGTAACGAGCCCAATGAGCAACGATATCAAGCTGGGGATGAATATAATACTTCCGACCAAGTCCAAGTCTCGGAATTTGACATTCCCAGTGCCCGTCTTGACGCGCATGAAGAAGACGATGGTGAGCAACGGCAAGGCACATATGGGAATGTTCATATAAAAGATCCACCGCCAGTTTGCCTGGGCCAGCAAGCCACCGAGCACAGGTCCTAGTGCGGCTGCGACGCCAGCCCAAGCATTGATGATGCCTAGATACTTGCCTCTGTCGCGGAGTGGCACAAGATCGCAGCATACGATGTCGATGAGAACGTAGATGCCACCCGCGCCGACGCCCTGAACGGTTCGGCCGGCGATCAGCATGGCCGGATTGAGAGAACCGCCAGAGATTCCGCTACCGATCATGAACAAGATGATGGACCCGACTGTAGGAATCTGGCGGCCAAGGATATCGGCCAACTAATTGACAGGGCACGAGTTAGCATTTTGCTCTTGACCATGCCGAACTCCCCATATTCTCTATCCCTTTTTTTCTTCTTTACTTTTCATTCTGAGGAGTGGGAGATGGAGATCACAGTCTGTACCTACCTGGCCGATCATCGGTTGCAGAACTGCTGATGCGATGACAAACGAATTCGCAATCCATATGTACTCGGTTGCGCCACCAATACTCTCTGTTATGGACGGAAGGGCAGTTGCGATGATCATGACATCTAGTGCGGATATAAAGGAGAGGGCACTAAGAGACATGATCACAACCCAGAACTGAGGCCCGTGACGAGTCGACGGCGGTGGTGTTGGGACGGTTGTAACATCTTCTCCATGGTCCATGTCCCGAGGGCCATGAGCTTCTGTCTCTTTGGATGTTTCCATAGTCTTATCTCTGGATTTATTGATGACGAGACAGAATATTTTCTCGATCGAAATACATGATAGGCGTGTTGAATGGCAAAGGAGGAGTTGCCGCTTCTGGCAAGAAGAAGAGGGAAAAGTGAGAAAAGAGAGAGATGCAATTTTAGGCAGCTCAAAGCACATTGAGTAGTGCGTTATGTTTGTCGGAAACAAACTCATATGCGGCCCCTGTTCGGGACAGACCCCAGTGAACGGTAAGACATGTCATTGGACACCACAACGAGCATACATGCATGAGAAGACCAACAGACCGGAGCCCCCTGGTCAACCTTTGTCAACGTGATGATTGAGATAGCGTTGATCAACTGCCAACACGTTTGCGCGTGGCCCTTTTATATGCACCCTGGTCTGACTACAGACCAATTCGTCTGTCCAATTGCCACCGCAGCTTTCTTATTTGCAGGTACGACTGTCAGCCATTAACCAAATCTGATGAGTAGTTCCGAGCTGACTATTCGTCTCTCCGAGTCGCAATCACCAATCTCAATAACGTGTTTGGCTCATATGCTGTCTACGTTATCAGAAGTCTCAAGACTGCGACCCAAGAGTATGATCAGAGGTGATAGTTTATTCCAGAAAGGGCACTCAGAAGGGTGTAATTCTTGTTTTTTTTTTTTTTTTTTTTACTTGGTGAACAAGTAACAAGACTCATTCTTATTCAATATTGTGCATGAGGGAGAACCGACATGCGAACAGAAGTGCAAACTCCTTTTCCCATGAAATTATGGGTGCTGGACCTTGTACACGAGCTTGTAGTTTGAAATTGTTCCGTCGCGGTATTCCTGGAATCCCTCTGGCACAGAGTCCAGTCCTTCGAGCAACTTTACATTGTTTGGTTTGATGACACCAGAAGAGAGCAACTTGGGCAGCTCCTCGAAGAACTTGGCCGAAAGTTCGTGATCCTCCTGGTGCGGCTACAAAGCTGGTCAGTAAAACGGTCTGTAACGTTAAGTATTGGAAGATGACTTACTGGCCAATGAAACTCCTTGTACTTGTGCTCCTTCAAAAATGCTGTCCAGACAAGCACATCGGTAACCTTGGTCTGCTTGGTCACGTTCTCGGTGAAAGCCTTGCCCGGACGAACCGTACACAAGCCACCACCCTGCTCGGAAATAGCCTGCGAAGCAGTAGCCGAGGACGAATCGTTGCCGATAGTGTCAAAGACGTATTTCAAGCCGGAGTCTGTGGCAGCCTTGATGCTCTCCGCCACCTTGGCATCGCGGTAATCGAAAGCATGACTGGCGCCCATAGACTTGACGAGATCGTGGTGTCGGGGGCTGCAAGTCGTTATGACATTCAGACCATAGTACTTGGCGATCTGGATAGCGTAGAGCCCAACGCTTGCTACAATGTGTGAGTTATCAGACTGAAAGTCGACCTTGGGTAGTCACCATTCCGACTTACAGCTTCCACCCCAAATAAGAACAGTGTTGCCAGATTTCTGTGGTATGTTGAGACAGTCCTTGGAAAATAGAGCGAGCAGTGCTGTACACGAAGCCAGGGGCACTGTGGCGGCCTGTTCGGGAGTGATGCCTTCGGGCAATGGGAAGCAAATGCGTTCATCTGCGAGGGTGTACTCGCTGTAACCGCCCAGTCCCTTGATTTCGCCTGCCCGAACCAAATTTTAGATGATGATGAAAATGATTCTGAGGACTGAGAGAATGACTGACCGCCCCATATCAGACCAGCTATTGTGGAACCAGTCTTGATCTTCTTCACGTCGTCACCCGTCATTTCGACAGTACCGACAAAGTCGCAACCGAGCACCGCATCGTCGCCAAAGGCATTGCCGTCGAGTGATTGAACTAGAGAACGTCTTAGTGTGTATGGCCAGATGATATGGGAATAAGAAGTATGAAAGTACCATCCGTAGGGTTCTGGGCAACATGGGAAATCTTGACCAGCACTTGGTGCTCGACCGGAGTCGGCACAGGAATAGTTTCCTTAGACAGCTTGCCATCCTTGGTCACGAGAGCCGTAGCAAATTTGGGTGCCATATTCGAGATTGCGCGTGTTTTCAAAACCCTTGCTGGTAGTATATTATTCCTCGATTTTCACCACTTGTAGCTCTTATATAATTGGCTTTTAGATGTCTTCAGCGTGGCGGGGTCCTTAGGACTGGACTCTGCCTAGGAGGATCATTCACCCATACTGCAATACGTAGAAGGTGATGAGATTGGTAATAGACTGTGACATCATCAGTCGTGCACGCGTTAGATGCATCAAACATTAAATCGCCCGAAAAATGCTTCGAGAAAGAGAATGTTCAAGGCACGGACTGACGGATTTGGCTTTGATGTGCAGCAACGTTGGCGTTGGCGCTTGCAGATGCCCCAAACCAACGCTGACTGGGCTTGGAGTTTCCACTGACCAGGTAGGTAGCTATTTGGTGGAAGACTGACCCCGCATCTAGTTGGTAGGTACCTAGGTAGTTTTACTCACGCAGTATACGAGGTACTAATCTTCAGTATACGGAGGCATCTGGCCTGGATCTGGCCATGGATTATAGTCGCATACTACATAAGTATGTAGGTAGGCATGTGGCCTTGGCTGCAGCTACAATTGAACGTCAAACAGCTTCATATTCGTAAATAGAAATTCGCATTCATGATTTATGACTTTCCGTGTCTTGGTCTGTAGTTCCCTTCATTCATGGCTTAGATTGATTTAGGCATGAAACCCAGTCCCCCAGGTTCTGCATGTGTTGCTGCGGCATAACGCGCGATCAGCACATCTAGCGTGGAGGCTACCTACATGGCATTCATACTTTCGTCTAAATACCAACAAGGTCGCCTCCATCACTTCTTTTGCTGTTCGTATTCTTTTCTTCTTCTTTTTCTATCTTGTAAAGTGAGCTGCCACAAACCGATCTTCCATATTGGAAGCATTCGTGGATTTCCAATCCAGGCATATCGTTGGTAGCGAGAGGCACTTTCAGAGTGCACTTAACAAACGTACAAGGTCAACAAAATGTTCCCCAAATTACAGAACTGAGGTCGTCAACGACAAATCGAAGTGGATAGACCGAAAACGCATTTCAATCGTGGAGAATCAGCGGGTCGAAGTCCAATGCCGGGAGGGCCACGATCAGAATAGCAATTACGGCCCATCATCAACAACCCAAGTACGGTTCCACCATGGCGCAATTGGCTAGCGCGTCAGACTGTTATAATCAATATGCAATCTGGAGGCTCACAGTTCGACCCTGTGTGGTGGAGGACCTTTCTCTTTTGATTCTATATTGAAGTTCAAGTCTTTTTTTTCTTTTCTTTCCTGATAAATACTTTTGCAGTGGTGACAGAGGTCGACCACGGTGGGACTAGTATTCTAGTCCCCAGAGAATCCTCAAATCCTTGGCTCTATCAGAAGTCTTCCAACCAGTAAGTTTCTCAATTGTTGCCAAATGCCTGAGTAGAGCAATCTTTTCCGGTGCGTACTCCTCTGCTTGATAATCCTTCTTAATATCGTGCCGGGGCGAATCATTCATGGTATTTGTTGAGGACAGGCGACTACTTTGATCAAGCGATGAATGTGACCCGAAACACCGGCCTGCAATATAAAGCGGCTGCAAGTGATTTACCCAGTTGGCGCTATGATGGGAGTAAGTTAAGCTCTCTGCCTTTATCAGAGTGCGGGTATTTGCATACTGTGAGGGATTACTAGTCGATATACCTCCCAAGGCCTTGGCATGCCAGACGGGGTCCATCTGCTTGGAAACATTAGCACATCACACTCACTAAATCTAGAGGCAGAATATACAGAGTCTGTGTTGATCAAGCTGGTCCGAATGTACCCAGTACGGAGTAGTAGAATGCATCCAGCATGGTAGAAGGTGTTTCCACAGTCTTCAAGACTCATTAGTCTCGAATATATAGGTAGTCTCAGGCCAAGTAAATTCACCTACTTGCGGATGATTGAGTGAAGACAATTGTTGGAAATGTATTGGTGCCTATAGCTTCACTACAAATCACGGGCCTCGCACCCTCGGGGCGGAGTCGCCACCATTCTTCGAACCTCGCCCAGGTTTGATTAATATGGTCCGAAAAACTTACCTCAGAATGGTTGCCATCATTGGGAAAGGTATTGATGAGGTTGGTCAGCCTTGCAAACATGAGAATAGCAAGATTGCAGTAATCATCAATGTTATCCCTAGTCGTGGCAGCTTCAAGAGATTCTTCGACCACCCATGACTCTGTCGGAATGAGCGTGGCCTGGTTCATGAGGAAGGCAGCCCAAATATCTTCATTATTCAGTCTCAGATTTTGGTCTTTGGCTCTGATATCTTCACTCACCGATCCGAGCAAAGGCCCAGAAGCAAGTTTTGGCAATGCCGTCACTGCTTCCATTCCAGCCGTGAGACTTCAGCAATCCCGCACACCCCTACAAGCAATACGGTCAAAGGGTATTCTAATGTGGATAAGGTGGATGCGATTCACTCACTCCTAAGTGGCGACGCCATTCTTTGACATCAGCTACCATCATTTCGTAGACGCATAAAACGGTGCACGTTGCGAGAATATGCAGATCAGCCTCAACTGGATCGTGTCTCAGAAGCAATCTTATCGCATACTGATACAACTCTAGAGTCAAAGAATTATTCTGCCGTTGAAGAGAGTCTCTTTGGCGGGATGCCAATGCCATGGCAGCAGCCGCATATGATTCAGACTTGATCATGCTGTGCGAAAATTGTATAGAGAAGTTATACTCGGAATCAGTGGTTTCGCACCAGGTCGCAGTCTCCTGGAGGTATGCTTCCAAGAGACTAACTCGAGTGTGTTGGGTAACATCGATGGTGGGAATTGGCGAGATGGACCTGTCGCGAGAATACTCGTGACTCAACGAGAAATGGGCCTGAAGCGATGGTGCGTGGGCCCTCCCGCCCAAACGAAGAACTGGTTGCACGGTAGACGAGACACCATCTTGGTGATGGTGCATCCGGCCTTCAGGCTCTTCCGATGAAGACTGGTTCTCATCACCACTACTCTCATGCTGGTAAGAACGGACGATTTCTTCGGTATCGTCGATGAACTATTATTTCGAGTCAGACAATAGTGATTTGCTAGGCGCACGTGTAGAAAAGTCTAAACTGCGCACCTCTGTCGTCCAGCGAGTCGTCTCAGACGCGCATCCGTTCAGTTCCTGTCTATAGTATCCAACCGCTCGAGATCTACTATATTCAACGGCGGACAACTCAGCACAATCCTCTCTAGACAGTTCCAAGGACCTCGAAGGATGGAATGACACCTTGAGGCCCCAATTGCAGCTGATGTGCCGATTTTGACAGGCCAGGCACACTGGACGGGTTCCGTCGCCTGTGACGTAATTTAGCCAAAAAGCTTTATTGAATATTGATGGACAATTGCGCTTGAATACTAACACTTGCGCCTCCTGCGTCGACAGGGTAAGTTGTAACCAAATGTTTCGTCAACCAACTTGTCCTGGTCATTGCGGAACACTTGTTACTTGCCATCCAGATCGAGTTCTCCTGTTGACCATCACGTCTTCGAGCAAGCCATGGCCTGGTCAAAGGGCTCGACATGCCGTAGGACTGGAGGATAAACATGCAGGCGGCTGGACTTTACTGGGCGACAGAACCCAGGTGGATCAAGGTTGGAACTAGACTAGACTCCGGCGCTTCCAGTTGCTGTTCGCATGAAGTCAACCAGGTCCACCATTGTTAGCACCGTAGCTATCCACTAACTTAAGTTAGCTGACCCTTGCGCAACAACCAAGCAGCAGTCCGCGTACGGATATATAAGAGTTTGTATTTTTCTCTTTCTTTCTTCCCTTTATAATATTTTTATATTTCTCCCCAATTGCATACTATACCGACATGGCTTTGGTCCCAGGCATAAACTCGTAGGGAACCCTGATGACCCTAACTTTTGCCAGCTGCATCAGAACCCAGTCTGTATACAGTGCTGCCCAGCCCGTAAAGCAAATAATACTACCCTCAGCCAAGCGGGACTTATTGCCTACATCTTTTCCAGACCAGCCCATAAACATGCAAATCATTAACATGAAGAACATGATGGCGGCCATGCCCCAGAAAAAGCCTGTGATGAACTTGATACCACCATCAGACATGTCAGATGCAGCCAGGGCGGATGCTCCCGTCAACCCTGGGAGACCGTCTGGTGAATAGATGAATGTCGCGCCTCTATGTTGCAGAGCACTGGTAGCACTGCATCTTGGACTCAGAATCAGCTTCATCATGACTGGTGTCGCAGAGGGGCCAGTCGACGCGAATTTGTTAGCCTAGAATCCATGCCTCCATCAGCTACCTGCAATCAGTTGCTTGTCGCGAATAGGATACGGCTTCTGGCAGCCGGTATGGCTGAGCTCTGATCAAGATGCCAGTGGCTTTCGGTCAAATACGTAGGCTGCCATGGTATAATACGTTTACAGATGCGAAATAAAGCCTGATGCTCCATGAGGCAATCCGCAACATACGATCTTAGCCTGATGCTGTTTCGGCGTCGTAAGATTATTCGTAGTATTTTGGCCACGTGCAGGCAGGAATGGCAAATAGAGATTATATTGCAAAGACTGTGACACGCCAGGGGGGCGCATTTGTCGAAAAGATTCTCAAATGCAGAACAAAAGACTGGGAAGACTTGAACCACCGTGATGAGTTGATTTTCATATTCATCAACGGGTTTGACTGGCAATGAATAATCGCCGAGACCAAGTGGCGCCACAGGCAGGAAATCCGATAGGCTTGTAGGTAAACATCTCATGGTCAGGAAGTTTCAACCCGCTTCAGCGAGTCCAAGTTGTGTACCTAAGTGTGGAGTGTCTAAGCGCCCGGAATACAAGGTCGCGAATACAAAGCCACGCATTAAAGTACAAAGTCGGCAGCCTAGAATGATACGAGCTGATGCTCTATAACAGCCGCTTATATAAGCGGGTTAATCAAATGCGAATGATGCAAAACGCATTTTCGCGCCAGCGGGTAACGATAGACTAGCCGTTCAAATTACCGGGGTCTTACATATAACCATCGGGCTGGACATTTCCAACAGCCGTCCTTCGGACAATTCCTGATAAACGATGCTCATTTGTAAGCAGAGCAACCGGATTTTAGTATTTGCCGTGATAATAAGATAGCAGAATATAGAATCATGTCCATAGTCTGTGAGTTCTGGTTAGTATCTCGCATCGCACATTTTTCGAGCTGTTGTTTTCGCGGAAGGGGGTCTGGTTAAGAAACAAGCAGAATTTAATGTTATAGCGCAAAAGTAGAGCAGTACAATTCTCATCCAAGACTCTATTTGCTTCAACTACTCATAACTGCAAATGCCTATGTAAATATTCGAGTAACGATTGATCTAGTATGACACAGATCCAATAACCCACTACAAATAGTCTAGTTATACTGGCTTTTCGTAAGGAGGCATCTCGCTTCCCTTCCACCTTTGACAGTTTGACCAAGCAAGTGCGCGCAGGCAACAACACATGACTAGGATGTACCCTTACTATATCGAAAAAACGATGCTGGAGACGCTTACAAGCTTTCGAAGACAGAAATGCCGGCTGTCGCGCATCTATAATTTTGCCACACCCTTAGGCGCAAACTTTACTATATGACCAGTGTGAATGGTAAACCAACTATCCGTCCTCGTATTAGCCATACTCAAAGCGTGGAAAGATACGAGACGTTGCGGTCTGCTTACAAATAAGTATCTCAATGATCAAGTTCAACAAGGAATCAACCGTAGTATTGGTTGTAGATTACTAATTACACTCCGAGCTGAACATATTTCCACTGATCATCGAGTGCTACTGTAACAATACACAGTTTGTCTCATGCTCTGAGAAAGAGGTATAAGATCTCATCGAAGGATCACCCCATCGAGAATTGCCAGTATACACATACTTCTTCGCCCTTTTATCCTTGCCCAATCAGACTTATCACCCTTGAAACCTCTTGTAGGCCATAATGTATCTCATTATTGTCGCAGTATTCATGTTTGTGCAATACGTAAGTGCGTGCGGTGCCGTTCATCCGCCTTCCTTCGAACAAATGCGAAGTCAGATCCGATGGGATTTGCACAGACGCCGTAAGTATGATGTATCCCCAACACACCCAACCTATCTCATCTCTTTCACAGAAAGTCCGCCCCAGGAAGAACCGACAAATCAGAACAACGAAACACACTGGACTGTTGCGGAAAACAAAAGGCAGATGCAAGTGTCTGACGACGCCTTTATCGCT